TTGCTCATAGAAACCAGAACTCGGCCAAGTGACGCTCACCGGTCCTCATTCACCACGGAGTGTCATTGTGTTGAGCTTCAATCTTGATTTGAAGCTTTCGTGACTACAGGAATCCATACTCTTTGGTTCTTTCGGTAAAGTCACGTAGGTAGAAATAAAACAATAAATCACGATGTTTCGAACGCAACACAAGCGCCCGTCTTCAGGTGAAAATCGCGATAGCCGCGGTGTCCGCTGTTGCGTTCGAAACGTCGTGATTTTATTTTGTTTAATTTCTACCTACGTGACTTTACCGAAAGAACCAAAGATAGTGTTGAACTTCTTTCGCACCAGAGGTGCGGGGGAAGGACAACAAACTGAACACAAAAAGCAGTTCTAAAGAAATTAGTTTTTAATCTAGATTTAAAAGTGCATAGCTCCGGTGGCTTCCCAATACCGGAATGGGGAGCATTCCAGACGGCCGCAGAAGCGCATCTGAAAGCGCGCGATGCAGTGACCAAGTTATGCTCGCCGGTCATTCACCGCACAATCACTAAGATCCATTCAAATTGGTGGTACTGCACTCGGAGCACTCGACGCGCGATCAAGGTCTTGAGTTAAATGTCCTCGTTGAAAGGTCAACTGGGGCCGTCATCTTTACGGGCTAGATAAAATAAGTACCACAAACTGAGGATGCTACGGTGGTTGTCTTTTTTTTTAATTGGCCGATGCCCTGAGTGGGTGGAATTTTCACCGCCGGACTCAGCACCGCCAACAGATGCGCATTTGCCCCATGCGCAACTGATTTGCAGTTTCAGCTGTGCAACGAATTTAAAATCACATTTACTTAACCAGAAAAACCGTAACCACATCTCAAGACCCTTTTGTTTAGGATGGTCCTACATTGGGGTGTTTAAAAGCCATTTTACCTAAACGGTGCATGTCAGTGTGCCACACTTTTCAAGTAAGACTTTTAAAAATCCAGCAATAATGTGATGAGTGGTAAATCTCATAAGTAATAAACATTAAATTCGTGAGGACTCGAAACATATGCTCTTGCTGTTGATTTGTCCATTGCATGAAACAATCAAAACCTATTCATCAGTGTCTGTTGATTCCTCAGGAAGCACTATTACAGGACACGAATTGGTAAACATAAGGTGAACTTTTACAGGGGACAAATTCTAAAATTGTAAGTTTTGATTCGTGACAAAAGGAGAACATTGCTATGTACGGGAGGTGAGATCATGAATGACATAAATGTGATACTGGTAGGAACCTCCTGGTTACACCAGCCCACAGGGGATTATTGTGTCCGTCCGTCGTGCATCCAAAAATGGGAGGGGCTGGGTGGAGTGGGGAGGGAGGGGCTGGGTGGGGGGTGGGAGGAGTGGGGCTGGGTGGGGAGGGGCTGGTCACCCCGTGGTGCCCTTATAAAACTCAACGTTTAACCTACTCACGCCGGCTTGTGCCCGCCCTCACAGTCGGGCATATTTGCGGAATACACCACGTGCCGCCGTTGACCCTGGCCATTGACCGAGAAACCTAACGTTCCTACCAGCTCCCTCCGCAGGAATGTGATTATAGGATCCCGTGCTCCCCTCTGGACATTGACACTGCAACGCTCAAGTCCAGGCCCAATACATTAAACTAAATACAATTATTTGTATTTTACCAGGTAAGGACCCTGAGCTATGTTATAGCTTTCTTTCAGAAACGGCCTGGCTATCGCAAATAATAGCTCAACGAAGTGGCTTAATGTAATGTGGACATTTGTAGCAGCCAAATATTCTAAACGCGTGATGTTGATTCTAATTGTGGAGGGAAAACCCAGAACACCCGGAGACAAAATCCACACGACCACGGGGAGAACATGCAAACTCCAAATATACAGCAGACGTCAGGGTTGAGCTCGAACCCACGACCTCCTGTATACCAGGCGCCCTTCTGATCTCATGCCTTCTCATCTCTGCCTGTTATTTGATGCAGTGCATTCTCATCTGTACAATATTGCTATCTCATTATCTTATGCCATCACAGTCTCACTTACCTCTTGCCCTTCACTCCCTCTGAATACTGTATAACCTAAAATCCGGTTTTTGAGCTTACGAGGTGTGAATTCCCCACCCCCTTTTGGCACAGGAACGTGAGATAACATTTGTTCTGGTAAAGTAGAAATCTTAAATTAACTTATTCACTAGAAGCGATCACATTGCACCAATTTTGCGTTATTATATGCATGTACATTGCGAGGGTCTGGTTATAATAGGCTGCTGAATGATATTATTTGCTAAGATGTTTGAACTTAATTTATTGATGTGATGTGCATTATAAGCAGAGGTGTGCAGTTAAACGCACAGTACCTGTACCACTTCATGTCATGTGTTTTAAGACGCCCAACGTAAAAAATATATGTTGTAACAGATTGGTCAATATTTACTTTTGGGGAATTATTTTGGGTCCCGTTGAGAGCACACGGCAGATGTCAATAGGACGCGCTGTCCACTGGAACAAGCCGTTCCATCTGTTCTCAACACCAACTCATGAATGAGTCATCGCAATCTGCTTGTTCATTATTCTTGGTTCTTTCGGTAAAGTCACGTAGAAGGGAAACAATAAAATAAAAATATAAAACAATAAAATTCTCACGACGTTTCGACTGCAACACAAGCAATCATCATCAGGTGTGAAAACCACAGCAAGAAAATTTGAAAAAAAAGTGTTCATTATAAATGCAATACACACACGCATGGCAGGCCATAATTACGTACGCTTATGTAATAACGCTGTGCCAATATTGCTGCGCTATTATTGGGTACTTGATTAAATCTCTCATTATATTACACAGGAAAAGTGGGTCGTCACTCTCCATACGAGTATCGAGTGGTGAGTATCTCTATTGTCCTGTGATAAGTACACATCAACCAAATCTCACCGTCGTTCATCACTGTTTAATTCCCACTAACCATCGACATTTCACCCAGTAACTATATATTTTTTCTTCCATTTATATTCCAAATTTCTTCTCAAGATGTAACAAAATAAATATATATCCTTTAACTTTCAAGTCAACTCTTACAGCAAGCAGTGGACCACCTTGTGTCACAGAAGAGCTGCAATGGGTGAGGTTCATGGGAGCAGTACCCATGGCAGTAGAGAAAGTGACTAAGATGTGACTGACCGCCTGTGAATTACTGAAGTGAATCGGTGAATTGATAGGTGCTGTTAAGTGAAACCCTACCTCTGAACGATATTACATCGTACACAACCATGTTATGCCACGGGTTGGAAAATCGAAAGCCCTAAGTTAGATGCGACGTCTGCACACTGCACCGATGTATCTTTGTAAAAAAAATACACGCGTGCTTGAAATAAGGAGAGCACCAGCAAGAGGCAGCCATTGTCACTGCACTGTTTACTTGTAAATATTTGTGCGTACAGCCCCCCGACTGTACAGTCATTGTATATACCAGGTGTGAGCAACGTACAGCCTGGGGGCTGTTTGCGGACTGCAGGAAGGGCCCACGAGCACCAGGATTACGAGCAGGGCCGGATTAACGCAGGGGCTTCTGGGGGCTGCAGTCCATATCAACCGCTTCATAATGGTCGAATGCAATACTGCAGGCACTGTGATGACTCCTAAAGGGCAATTTGGTAAAGCCGTATAGCATCACCATCACTGTGTTCCTACAAGTTATTAGCACGGTTGGCTACGTACGGTGCAACGGAAGTTAAACATAATAGTCATGCCCTGAATTAAAATGGGTTCAAGATATAGGAATAGGTTTTACCCTTTTAACTGGCACAAAAACTGACACCTTTATTCAAGGCATCATGTTTGCAATAACCACAACACAAGCAGTCAAAATGCAAACAAAAAAGACAACTCTGATAATAATAATATGCACTGTCCTTGAATTTGATTGGTCCACACCCGAGACGACTTTCTTTAGAGCCAAGTCTCCATTGGTGTTGGACCAGAAGACGCCAAAAGGCGTACCACTCAAAAAATGGGTTCGTTCGTTTTAAATTTGACTCAGCTTTACAGTTCACATATCACATTTCAAACTCGAACTTAAACAATCAAGGTGAAGAACAAAAAGTATCGGGCAAAGGGTGTTAGTAAATCAGCCAAGGTAAGGAACTGAATATAGAGAAAGAGGGCCCCCCCCAAAAAACGCAACAGCCCCAGATCGTCTTCAAACTTAATCCGGCCCCTGGGTACGAGAACACCCAGGGAACAACTCAGCGGGACTGTTAGCTGCGAACACAGGCGACCGAGACATCACGTCCACAAGCATGACAGCCTGCGGGGAGCTAAGAGATTCTTCCCAATGTGGCTCTCTTGGAAACGGCTGCCCACCCCTGAATATAAAACACTTTTGTATACTTGTCGCTCAGTTTCCCAGGTACCCGCTAAACCTTAACGGTGCCTTCTGCAAACTGTCTTCATTTGCAGCTAGAACTGCGCCTCCCTGCCAAAAAGTTGTCTTTTATGCTTCCAAGCTTGCGTGTAACAGCCGAGAAGCAGTGTTTTGTTACAATTGTTATTCCTGTGCAGGAGTGAATATGAGATTCTTGCTGCAAATGAAGACATTTCACTTCTTTATACTTGGATGCCATTCATATGCACATTTTGAAAGTACCATTTGTTATTGAAATAACCCTCTTACTGAAGGGTTAAAAAAACCAAAGCGTGCGTGGTTCAATGTGTGTACACGCAGACATGACACAAAATACCTCCAGCATAGTCTCACTGGGGTATTTGCTGTTGGCAAGCACCTATTTCAGTGGACATTACACACACATGGGGTGGAATCCCACCTGATACACCCAGAACTAGTGTTTACAAAGTGCCTCGCTTTAGTCCCAAGTCAACACGGGTACAGATATATCCACATACATATATTGTATCCACGTGGCCACAAACACACATCATTCAGCACACAGCATTATAGCCACCCCTTACAGTATTGTGATTAGCACCATTGTCATTTGTTCAAATGTGTGGGTCCAAGAGATGTTGTATTTTATAAAGTTTGTGATTTGTTTTTTTGTTGCCTAAATGTATTACAGCATGGTTTTTTTTTACATGGCACTTCTACATGTAATGTATATTATACACGTCATTGTTCCAGTGTTATCTAAGCAAATTTATTTAGTTACATGTAAAGACTACCCACACAATTACAGTAGAAAGAAAACAAGGCCAAATAAATAAAACAACCACTCCTATACACGGGCACATGGGTGCAGCAATATTAATATTTGACATAGTCAAACTTTACTTGATTTAATGACTATGGTCCCACGTGGAAGATTCGTAAAACTTTGGTGGGTCCCTGCACGTTGTTACCGCGCATACGTCATTTTAGTCGGTGAAATAATATATCCTAGTGACAGGCCTTAAAAAATATATAGAACAATGCGCACTTGTTTAAAGTACATCGAACCGTTGGAATTGTAGCTTTACGTGGTCATCAATCAACTCGTCACAGATTCAACGCAATGTCGTAAAGGGTCGCTCCTTTTTTTTTTGCCAGCGTCTCATTAAATTTTAAATTCCACAGCGTCGACGTGAAGGAGCAGGAGCAGCAGCAGCAGCAGCATCGTCTCGGTGGGCGAAGGAGCCACGCACAATGCAGTGCGTGCGTAGTGCAGGAGAATCTGTCCTGCGCCTTTCGTCGGCAGACATCCGGTGCGCGGCACTGCCAGCGTCCCCAAATCCAAAGTCCACCCCAGGGAGAAACAAACAGAATTCATTCCGCCCCCCCCCCCCGCCGAGTCCGCTTCGTTGACGTCTCTTTGTTTCCCTTGCAATGTCTTTGCTTGGCCGGTCGCCCTTTGCCCCAGCAGTTTCCAGCGTGACACCGTCACTGGAGTGACGGTGTTACCCTCTGTGTGACGCCCAGGGCTCGTTCAGAAAGTTGAAGGGAGAGCGGAACGTGCTTTACTTATTTTGCACTTTTGCGTGTTTTTCCCGCGTTTAAAGTTTGTCATTGAAATCATGAAATCATAAAATCTTAAAGAAGATTTACAGCTCGGGTGAGGTTCCCAGTAGATCCTGAGCTGCCTCTTGAAACAAAGTTGATGAGTGCATTACAGCATTAACCTGTTGCTCGATCACTGGCACTACTATTAGCAATAATAACATTAATAATAGTAATACCATCACAATAAAGTTAATACAAATATTAGCAGAGCCGTTGATGTAATAATTACGAGCATAAAAAACATTTCCTTGACTTTTTAAAACCTAAAAAAATTACCGTTCCAAGTATGAAAATATTAACACAATTTGAAAAGCACACCTGTGGGAGCTGCAATAATAAAAAAAAATGTTAATATAAATAACATAAATTGTAAAATAAACATAAAAACGAGTAATAAAAGTACATTAACATCACAGCAGTGCAAGTATAAATAAAGTCACTAGCTGATGGAATAATCACTTTGAAATGAATAGCAATTATAAATAAAACTAATAATGAACACGGCAAGGCAAGCAAAACAAACAAAATAATAGCAAGAGTGAAACAACGCAAGACTAGAAAACATTGCCAGCACAAGTGTTTAGGCAATAATATTGAATGTAGAAATAATGAAGTCTGGCATGGTGGCAGAGGATTTTCATCCAGCACTGTTGGTGGAGGATCTCATAGATGACACAAAGTTTATGTACATGAGACACCCAGTCTGCTGGGCTGAGAGGTGACCGATACATGACAGTACAGCAAGTAGGTGGCTGACATAGGGGTACACCACCTATGTGTGGCACTTTGGGTGGCAAGTTTGTTACAGAAAGGTGCCACGTGTAACTCAAAAATAATTGTATTTCACCTGACACCCTAATTGCCTTTCACTTGCTGAAATACGTAATAAAGAATTGTCCAAATATCACAATTGGCACCCTGTGAATTGGAATGCTCGCCACAGTGCCACCAAGACCAATATGACTAATATAGCATGTCTAAATAACAAAGACAGCTGAAAAAAACATAATAAAAGCACAGTTGTGTGGTAAAAGGGATGGTGGCAATCAAGTCAGCATCTCCCCGCTCAAACGAGTGTTGGATGATGATGGTGATGATCTCCTTTGGGAGCCAGAGGTGTGAATTTGACATTCCCATGGTAATGACAAGTTTATCCTTAGAAGACTCACAGCTGGCTTCCCACAAAGTAGTGCTCATTTTTTTTTTATCATCCCTGGAGGGACGATAGTGATGCGGGTGGGCTGAATCGAGAGCCCGACCAAGATATGAAGTCGTGATTTGCCGACTGCGAGTTCAGTGCTCTTCCCACAGGGCCGCGTGCTCGGTGAGTCGGGACGGCAAGAAAACCGACGTTTGAAACCGAGCGGTACAGTCCAGCAACGCTGTGAACCCCGACGGTGAGACGCAAGCAGAAATGCGAATGGAGGTCTAGTGAGGACCACTGCTGGCGAGAGAGTTAGTGTTACGAGTCGAGGATTGGGCTAGCGCTTGTTGACTAGTTTGTAGGGAAGTAATGAATCACCCCCTCAACGATGATGCATGTTGGACAATTAGGATTTATATTTAAATTGCCAATCGCTTTTTTGCCAGTGTGGTACATGAAAGGGTTTCTATGAACCAATCACACCCAAGATATGTTAATCGTAAACAGTGAATTGTTATGCCCATGAATCGGTAAACCTATCCTGAAAAAAATATTTTAATCGACGAATCAATAAATCGTTATATCCCTATTGTGTTTGAGTTCGAAGGAGAGTTAGCATCTGCTTGGCTAGTTTATTTGGCCAAGGATAGCGCTTGAGGCTCGTTGACCAATTGGTTTTCATTGTGGCTAGTGTTTGGTTGATGAGTTAGGGTTAGGAACAGCTCCGGAATACGAGTGCCTGGTTGGCTCGAAAGCTCCGACCCCGAACGGTTTTGCCACTCGCTCCAATGGACTTTTCCTCCCCGTTCGCTCTCCACTCCCGCGGCTCACGGCGCGCGCGGTCGGTCAGCATGCTCACGACAGGTCCCTCTCCTCCTTCACTTCCATGCCGTCGTCATGGGGGTCCCCGTGCTGCTCCTCGTCGCCATAGCCGTGGGCGCCGTCCGGGTCGTCGTCGCACAGCTCCGAAGGGTCGTCGCTGAGCGGAAACGAGATGACGCCGTGCTGGTCGATGACGGGGCCCGGCGGCAGCGTGTCGTCCAGGCACACCAGGTGCGGCGCCAGGCGGTAGGCCTCGTGCGACGCGGCACGCTCCGACGGCGGGCCCAGCACGCGGTTGGGCTTGGCGCCGTGACGCGACGCCGCGTCCAGCCGCCGGCAAAGGTCGGTGAGCGCCGGCGTGCGGAAGCGAGGGGGCCGCGCCACCCACACGCCGGGCTCCACGGCGCTGTCCTCCTCGTCCGACATGAGCTCCTCCGTCACGCCGGCCCACAGCTGCTGGTCCTCCGGTGGGAACAGCTTCACCGTTGACGTGCGGTTTCCGAAGAGCTGCGAGTATCCCCACACAAGCGGCAAAGACGGTGATAGAAATTTAGCGCAAGTGGGGTGACGCTTTAAAGTTAAAATAAGCCATGTTCTATTCACTGCTAGACGAAGATCTCCCCAAGCCGTCGGCATCTCTCAGTCTCGTGATACGGCAATCTAGCTCCTGCACATGAGCTCATTTAATCGCCCCATGTTCATGGTGGATGCACTCTCATGTTATCTCCTTTGGCTGCTACTCTGACATTAGTCCTGACCAACAGTCATCCTGTCTTACGCAAGCCCGCTTATTTTTCTTCACGGTCAATATGAAGTCTCTAACATTTTTTTCTGAGGTCCTCTTCCTGCCTAATTCCAAGGATGTTCCTCTCCATTTGCCTTTTCACACTTTTCACCTCTTGTTCCACTTTTGTTCCACACTTAACTGCCAGGTTACAAAACAAAACAAAAGTTACTCTGTCGGTATTTTTACGTAACGCTTCTTGGTAATGTTGTCGGTTTTTAATTACCACACCCATTGAAGGTGGCTAACTTCATCTGCCACATCACCTGTGAATGGCGCGATGGAAGCATGCACTTGCTAAGAAAAGAGTATCTATGGCCGACCCGTTATTACTGTACAGTATTTGTTTAGCCAGGTAAGAACTCACGCGACCAGGATGGAGTCTCAGGCTTCATCTAAAAGAAACCTCGCCACAAAAATTTAGACTGAGGGCATCATTAAGATCGCAGAGCTCCTGGAGCTCCTCTCTGAGAGTGACCCAGATTGGGAGCAGAACAGCTCTTCCAACCACATCTCCCACCGCTGCCATGTAGAAGTACAATAGAATGCACTCGTGACCATAGTGCATAATACTTACTGATGTTATTCTAATACATTGTTTTAGTTGTATTCATATTCTTAGCTCTTTCGGTAAAGTCACGTTGAAGGGAAACAATAAAATACATATAAAACAATAAAAATTCTCACGACGTTTCGACCATAACACAAACGGTCATCATCAGGTGTGCCGGTCCGCATTAATTAATTAATTTTTTTTTGCGGTGCATTTATTTATAAAAAACGTCAGCGCCACGCGCAGCGATTTGCCAGTTTATTTAGAAGGACTAGTCCATCTATGTTCTGAAAAGAGGAGGGGGGAGACGACAAAAAATGGTTTATCAAATCCTTCCAATGATTGCTAAGCCAGAATCCATCTTCTCGGTTGAAATTGTCTCTGTGCTTGTATATGTGGATAGCCTCATGAACGAATTTATCATGGTAGCCAGATGGCTTACAAAGAACCTCTGTCTTGGAAAAGTCAATGTCATGTGAGCCTACTGAATTATAACAATGATCTGCCACGGCCGAGGTGTTGGTCCTACCGTGTTTAAGGTCTGCTTTGTGTTCACGAATGCGGTCCGAGACATGGCGTTTGGTTTCTCCAATGTAACTACTACCACAGAAGCAACTTAGTTTGTAGACACCAGGATACTGTATGTCCGGAATCACATCTTTTACAGACGGAACCAGATCACGGATTTTATGTAATGTGTTGAAATGGACCTGGATCTTGTGTTTATTCAAGATTTTGGAGATCTTTTTTGTGATCCCCGCAATGTAGGGTAAAGTGATGGTTTTGAAAGGCTCCTCAAGAGGGTCCTTCTTCATGGTTTGAGTGATAGCTTTGCGGATTGTATAGTCGGAGTAACCATTAGCCTTAAGAGCTTGGTGTACGTGCTTGAGTTCACTGCCTATGTGTTCCTGGTCGGATATGCATTGGGCTCTATGGTACAGAGTCTTGATGAGAGAATTCTTCTGTGATGGATGGTGGTGGGAATCCGGTTTCAGATAAGCATCCGTATGGGTAGCTTTCCTGTAGACAGAGTGGCTCATTGAACCATCAGGTCTCTTTTTTATTAGGACATCAAAAAAAGGTAGCTTGCCATCTTTTTCGACTTCCATGGTAAATCTGATGGCTGGGTGTATGGAATTGATGTGGTCGAAGAATTGGTCTAGAGCAGGCCGGCCATGTGGCCAGATGACAAAAATGTCATCCACGTACCTCTTCCATAAGGTTGGGCGCAGAGTGGCAGTCTGGATGGCGTCAGTCTCAAAATTTCTCCATGAAAATGTTAGCTATAACCGGAGATAGGGGGGAGCCCATTGGGGTGCCCTCAGTTTGTTTGTAGAAAGTTCCATTCCAAAAGAAGTATGTATTGGTTAAACAGTGTCTCACCAGGGGGGGTACCTCAGTGTTTAGTCCTTGATGAACCAAGTCTTCAATGATTGTGATGGTGTCAGGTACAGGAACCTTGGTGAATAAGGAAACTACATCAAAACTGACAAGCAGGTCGTCTGGGGACAGGGAAATACCCTTGATTGTCGATACCAGGTGAGTAGAATTTTTGTACTGCAGAGGTGGTTTTTCCAGTGAAAGGATGCAGGATTTCAGACAAAAAACGAGCCAGTTTGTAGGTGGGGGAGTTGATAGTAGAGACGATGGGACGAAGGGGTGTATCTACTTTTTGCATTTTTGGTAAGCCGTATAATCTTGGTGGCCTGGCAGCAGGTTTCAACGAAAACTGTTTAGATTGATCAATTAATGCACATTAATGCATTAATGCGCATTGATTGATCAATCTAAACAGTTTTCGTTGAAACCTTCTGCTGCCAGGCCACCAAGATTATACGGCTTACCAAAAATACATAAAGCAGATACACCCCTTCGTCCCATCGTCTCTACTATCAACTCCCCCACCTACAAACTGGCTCATTTTTTGTCTGAAATCCTGCGTCCTTTCACTGGAAAAACCACCTCTGCGGTACAAAATTCTACTCACCTGGTATCGACAATCAAGGGAATTTCCCTGTCCCCAGACGACCTGCTTGTCAGTTTTGATGCAGTTTCCTTATTCACCAAGGTTCATGTACCTGACACCATCGCAATCATTGAAGACTTGGTTCATCAAGTACTAAACACTGAGGTAGCCCCCCTGGTGAGACACTGTTTAACCAATACATACTTCACTTGGAATGGAACTTTCTACAAACTGAGGGCACCCCAATGGGCTCCCCCCTATCTCCGGTTATAGCTAACATTTTCATGGAGAAATTTTGAGACTGACGCCATCCAGACTGCCACTCTGCGCCCAACCTTATGGAAGAGGTACGTGGATGACATTTTTGTCATCTGGCCACATGGCCGGCCTGCTCTAGACCAATTCTTCGACCACATCAATTCCATACACCCAGCCATCAGATTTACCATGGAAGTCGAAAAAGATGGCAAGCTACCTTTTTTTGATGTCCTAATAAAAAAGAGACCTGATGGTTCAATGAGCCACTCTGTCTACAGGAAAGCTACCCATACGGATGCTTATCTGAAACCGGATTCCCACCACCATCCATCACAGAAGAATTCTCTCATCAAGACTCTGTACCATAGAGCCCAATGCATATCCGACCAGGAACACATAGGCAGTGAACTCAAGCACGTACACCAAGCTCTTAAGGCTAATGGTTACTCCGACTATACAATCCGCAAAGCTATCACTCAAACCATGAAGAAGGACCCTCTTGAGGAGCCTTTCAAAACCATCACTTTACCCTACATTGCGGGGATCACAAAAAAGATCTCCAAAATTTTGAATAAACACAAGATCCAGGTCCGTTTCAACACATTACATAAAATCCGTGATCTGGTTCCGTCTGTAAAAGATGTGATTCCGGACATACAGTATCCTGGTGTCTACAAACTAAGTTGCTTCTGTGGTAGTAGTTACATTGGAGAAACCAATCGTCATGTCTCGGACCGCATTCGTGGACACAAAGCAGACCTTAAACACGGTAGGACCAACACCTCGGCTGTGGCAGATCATTGTTATAATTCAGTAGGCTCACATGACATTGACTTTTCCAAGACAGAGGCTCTTTGTAAGCCATCTGGCTACCATGAGAGATTCGTTCATGAGGCTATCCACATATACAAGCACAGAGACAATTTCTCGGACCGCATTCGTGAACACAAAGCAGACCTTAAACACGGTAGGACCAACACCTCGGCTGTGGCAGATCATTGTTATAATTCAGTAGGCTCACTTGACATTGACTTTTCCAAGACAGAGGCTCTTTGTAAGCCATCTGGCTACCATGAGAGATTCGTTCATGAGGCTATCCACATATACAAGCACAAAGACAATTTCAACCGAGAAGATGGATTCTGGCTTAGCAATCATTGGAAGGACTTGATAAACCATTTCAGGTCTTAATTGATTGTTCACGCTTACGGTGGCTTTCAGACAGCATACATTAATTTTTCGTCTCCCCCCTCCTCTTTTCAGAACATAGATGGACTAGTCCTTCTAAATAAACTGCCAAATCACCGCGCGTGCCGCTGACGTTTTTAATAAATAAATAAATACACCGTTTACTAATTCATTAATGCGGGCCGACACACCTCATGGCGACCGTTTGTGTTATGGTCGAAACGTCGTGAGAATTTTTATTGTTTTATATATATTTTATTATTTTATTGTTTCCCTTCAACGTGACTTTACCGAAAGAGCTAAGAATATGAATTACTGCAGTCACGAAAGCTTTAAATTAAAATTGTTTTAGTTATTACATGTTTACCATCTGAATTATTGGCTAAATTACCAATCCACCAATGAAGCCGTCCTATATTGCTCATACGAAAGACATAACGCTGTCGGGAACGCACCCCCATATATACAATGTTATAATGACCCCTTTTAACGCTGATTCGATGAGCACTCACTTCCCCAGGAATGCATCTTGTGCGCTAAGCAGGGGTCTCACTGTGTTAGTATTATTGCCAATGTGTGTTGTCTATTAAGGCCAGCAAAGGATGCAAGGCTGTCGTGCGGCAAGAACCCCCCTGCCTCCTGCATGTGTCTGCTTATCACTGCTGTTGAAGAAAACAAAGAAATAAGATAATGCACAGCACAAGCTGCTCCTTTCAGGTCAATGTGACCTGGGGAGGCCAATGCAAGGCACGCACTGTGCGTGCTTCAGTTCGCATTGGTGTGCAACACAGGTCAGCAGGGTTTGAGCACTGTGTCAACAACACAGCCACTTTTCCCAACCATGAACAACAAACGTTCTAAACATATCTGGCATATTTGACATATATATTACAAAAAAAAACCCTCCTTTTCATCTTGGGCAGACTGCCTGTGTGTCTATTGCTATGAGAGAAGAACTTTTAAGATCAGCACTTGCACATGGTGGAGTGGTGTGACCAACACCATAAACGCCATCCACTATTGGTCTGGAACATGTCGGTGATGACATATCACAGCGGACGCTAACTTTGTGATGAGTCATCCTAGGAAAGGATGGCTTTGATGAGGAGAACAATTCCCACGACTGTATTTGTGTGACCTAGAATTTAACCTAGATGGCTGGCGATAGCAACATATTATGCTAACCAGTGAAACACACGCACAAAGTCATACAAGTACATAAAACACACTTAACGTTTTGACAGTTCATACACTACACTTGTCACGTGCCTAGCACTGTACACATTACTGGAATTGTAACACTCGGATTCAGACGCTGGATGTGAGCCAGGACATTTTTTGTTGACACAGTCACCTATTGAGCAGGTGTGCCCTTGTGAAAGTCACAACCGAAAAAAATGTAAGTCCTTTTGAGTCGGAAAGAGAAGTGCACAGATGCCAAGCTCCAACACTCATTAACCTGACACACAAACACAATGAAGAGTGTATATACACACACATACAGAGAGATCAACAGCGTAGTCTGACAGGCTGTTATCAAGCATAAATAAATAATGGCATGGAAATATCTGACCACGAAGTTGAGTCTTCAACCATGGTAATTTTATCTCCGGACGTTTCAAAAGCCAATCATGCGACCTTTAAATCCTGCCAGTCCATGCGCCAATAAGTAGGGTTAATTGCTCAGGTGTTCCTGATAATGCCAATGCTGATGTAGTACATGGCCATGAACTGAGTCACCGTAACCATACAACGGTTCAATAACCACAACACCACAGTGGTTATTGTTAGTGTTCCAGTGACCTAACAAGCAATAGGGGGTGCTAACTCATGTTGGTCACGCTTAGCCATTGGTGGAAATGCCACATTCCTATGAAGGGGACTAGTTTTTCCAGGACAAATCGCTGTTCACTTCCTACCAAGTTGTCAAGCCTCACCACGTGATGCTCATGTTGGATGAACCACGGATTGACAATTGATGGCGATGATGAGACCTAATTGACCCTTACTGGGATTTTAACTGAAACTATATTAGTGACACTTCTACTCAACCAACAGCTGAGCCATATTCCAGCCATGCACTGTGCTTCGTTGTATTTTAACCTCAACGTACCCACCAATAGGATACAATTAACTCTCCGCCACAATTAATTACATTCATAGACAAGGCATTATTACTACAAAATCCAAAATGAAGGCAGATGAGCCATACATGCAGCACAAATCTTCAATTATTGTGTTTCCTGTTTGTATTGCAAAGTGCTTTGGATTTAAGCATTCAAGAAATGAAAATCATCAGGCTTTATTACTGTAGAGTGGTTGTCCAACAAAAGGACACTGTATAAACATGAAATATAATTCCGCTACGTACACAACATCTGCGAGCCAAGGCGGGCAGAACCCGTCTACCCCGTTTTCGAGCACACAATGCCTGGGGGCTCTCCTACCCGATATCGCCGGCTTCTCAGCTTCTTCTCCTCCCTTTCCCGCAGGCTCCGGTCCGGGTTTTGGGAGTTGCGGTACTCGCGCCTCTTGGTCAAGAAGTACGACACGCATGCACCTGTCGGATTCAAGGCACGCAAACGGTTAAATAGGGTTTCTCACGCGTCGATGTTACTGCACCACGCACACGTGTCGCTGAACGTGGCACCAAAGTCTAAACGATGAAACCGCGCGAGAAATCAAGTGTCCCATTGTGTTACTTTCGGGTTGCTCGTCGTGACTACACCTCGAGTAGGATGGTGTACTTTAAACACAAACGGCAACCATTTAAGAACAGTTTAACACGTGGGCTTTCGCGACCAATATTATTCATAATAAAGAACAACTCGATTAGGTCGCATATCAGGTGGCAGCTCAATCGCAACTTCACACGTGCCGAATGTTCTCTGCAAATATTTGCCGGTATCTGACTAAGATACCTCTTCTCCTCTCATCTCGCTCTAGTCCCCTCATGCCCTAAACTCCCACAACCAAGCCCTCCCCTGTCTTTACACCCAGTCAACCTCCTCTTAATTGGAGGTCGCTACTGCTCTGCCGCCCCTTTTGTCTGAAACTCCGTCCCCTCAGCTATCTAGAGTTTACACTGCCACTCCTATTTAAATCCAGGTGTTGGACTCTCCTCTTTCTCCTCCACTAAGAATTTCCTGCCTTCCTCCATGTCTTCTATGCAGGCCCGGACTGGCCATAGGGCAGTCAGGGCAAATGCCCGTGGGCCGGTTTATTCCAAGGGCCGGTGGGCCGGTCTGTGTGGGGAAATTGCAAATGTGATCAGGGTAAAAAAAAAGATTTTTTTTTATTTAAACATTTTATTATCTCGAATGTGTACGCTTCATTGCTTACACTCTCAGTTGGCATTAAGTCCCCATATTCGGCAGCTCCAAAGATTCTTCCTGACCGGCCCATTTGTTTTTTGGACCAGCCCAAATGGGCCAATGAGATCGCACGCCAAAATCACGCTAATACGTCACATCACAAATCTAGCTACTCCACAGCCCGAATTTGGGCTGGTTTGTTTACAAATGCCCGGACCCATTTTTAGTCCGAGTCCGTCACTGCTTCTATGCCATTATTACTAAACAATTGCCATTTTCTTCTTTTTGTTTTCTACTTCTATACACTCTCTCTCATTTACCCCTTTCAATGGAGTTTCCGCCGACACATCCGCTATAAATTCAGTTAAACTGTCGAGTCCTGGGATGAGGTTGAAATTTAACGCTTTACTAATTAAAATAGCATAACAACACATCTCATAACACTGCCAAACAGAACTCAATTTAGATCGCTAGGCTCACGGAAGCCAGACAAAGAGTACTATCAACCACGGAGGCTTTCCAGCTTCAGTAACCTACATATGCCATCAGTGAATACTACACCTCACCTTTCAACTCCTTCTCCGTGTAGTGTTGGTCTGCCAGCTCTTCCCGTAGTCTCTCCAGCAAGTACCGCATCACAGTGATGTTCCAGCCAGACTTGAGCCTGCAGCACACAGCAGCACACGACAGCCTCCATTGCAGTCCTTGCTCGTGTTGCACCAGCAGCATGGTTTTTATGCAACGGCCTGACTCAATATTTATAACACTCGTGGCTGCAGATAAATTAAGCAAGAAAAAAGAAAAACATTAAAAATGGAATTGAATTTTAAAAAACGAGATGCGTTTTACACTTATTAGTTGTGACACTTGCAAGCTGCATCTGGCTACCCCTAGGACTTAATTGAGAAATTATGAACGAGATTATTTGACGAGTTATGGGTCTTCCATTGTAGCAATATGAAGAAACTGGTTACGTGAATGAAACAGGTACATCATTCTAGATTTGAAGTTTTCGTGATTGCAATGATCCATACTCTTTGGTTCTTTCGGTAAAGTCACGTAGGTAAAAAATAAAATAAAGTTAATCAAATCGGAAGCAACACAAGCCTCCGCACATCAGGTGGGACAGTCACTACAGCAAATAATTTCTTGCTGTGACTATACCACCTGATGACGGAGGCCTGTGTTGCTTCCGAAACGTCGTGATTTGATTAACTTTATTTTATTTTTAACCTACGTGACTTTAACGAAAGAACCAACGAGTACAGGTACATCAGTTGTTGCATCTGAATGCCATGGAGAATGGCTGAATATCTGGTGCATCTTAACTCCTCACTGCTCTTCTTTATAAAGGGCAACTACTCCACTAACACTGCACTCTGTCCGAGAATAGTGCCTGATGATTCCGACATAGGCCAAAAGTTCTTAGTCATATTTAAAATTACGGGGAATGCAGTAATGTAAGGTGAACACCGTGCAATAATAAAACCATTCACCGCATGCACACCAGTCGATGTGTGTGCTTGTGCCTGCTCACTGTTTAAGCACACATTGTTGACTTTTAAATGCTATTACAAATGCTGGCAATGTATGTTTATATCAGATATTTATCCAGCGACACAGGAATTTGCAAGACACTTATTCATGAAAGTAATGCCTGGGATTTTATTCTAATTCCTTGGTAGATAATTTTGTGGCCCTAAGATTTAAAATATCTGGCCAAACAGCACCGTTGGTACAGTGTGTCTCTTTTAAAAATAGGTTGCAAGTTTCAATTCCAATTGAGGGTAAACTCAGCCCTTCATACCTTCCAGAGTAAAACAATTTTATTATCACTTTGTGGAACCCCAACTGCAGTCATCCACGAACCCAGCCCCTTACATATGGACGTGCACGCCTGTAATCCAGCACCCTGGAGGCAAGGATTGATCGAACACACAAGGTTGTCAAACTTTCAAACATGCTGGAAAGCAAGGTGGCCTGAAAATGACAGTACAGCAATAGAGTTGTGAGGCAAGCTGTGATCGCTGTCCACTCATATACTTGGCAGTTTTCTTCCTCCGGTTTTCCTCCCATACAAAAAAAAACTTCCCTTAACGAAATTGTTCAAAGATATCATTGCAGGAACCCTCCTGACAAGGGTCGTGAGACTAAATTAGGCTTTCCTGTAGAAATTAAATGATGCCTAAAACTTCGATAAAGCAACAATGCAATTTGATGCAAGTTTGTGGCTCATAACAGCACGTCATTTTAATAACAATATAAAAAAGGTGAATAGCTTGCTCGCTTAAGGAATACAGGTGCACATGCAGAAGAACTGCAAAAACTGGTCATCTTAGTGCCACCCCAATGAGTAATGAGTAATTGGGATTGTCTTTATTTGCATGTGTAAACATACAACTCAAGCCCAGTATTAGTGGTAATTCTAGATATGAAGCTTTCGTGACTGCAAGGATCCATACTCTTTGGTTCTATTCGGTAAAGTCACGTAGGTAAAAAATAAAACAATTCGCGAGCACAAATCAGATTTGAAACACGGCAGAACGAATTCTTCTGCCGTAGCTGATCACTGTTACAATGCTGTGGGTGATCACAATATAATTTTCTCCAATACCAAGGTTCTTTGCAAACCCACGGGTTTTTATCAGAGATCTGTTCACGAGGCAATTCAGATCTACAAACACAGACACAATTTCAACCGAGAAGATGGTTTCAAATTAAGCAACCATTGGAAAGATGTTCTAAATCGAACCAAACATTAAACTAATTTTCAATGGTACAGTATATTTTTTCAAGTAGTGGTACCCCAAGCTTTCGCAGCTCTTAAAATTCCCTTTTCACACCATCAATAGGTAAACTCCCCCTCCCCCCCTTGCCAACTGGCATGTTCACCTGTATGTACACCACCTCTACACCGTTCATCATGCTAAGTCGGCCAATTAAATGCTAATTTTTATGCTAATTCCTTTGTCAAGGCACCTTAATTTCTCTCACACAGCTTAAAGGTCGCGGTCTGAGCTTGGCTGTGTTTCACTCCAGCGCTGTCCTCGAGACAGTCTCGTCCCTTCACCTGATGAAGGCCACTTGTGTTGTGGCCGAAACGTCGTGATTTTTGTTGTTTTATTTTTTACCTACGTGACTTTACCGAATAGAACCAAAGAGTATTAGTGGTAATCCTTGTCATTATAACAGAGATTTACTGTGCTCAGCTTTGGGAGTATCACTATACCTTAAGGAAAATGAATTCCCAAAACCATATTAATCTTTATCTTGTAGATACAGACCTGGTTGTGTGTCCCATTCTGTCTCACATGGGATTAACGTTCCGATCATGTATGTATGATGAACTTCTTTCTCCACCGTACTTTAGCCAAATGAGCTAATCGGAGGTGCGAGGGAAGGACAACAAACTAAACACACATAAATGAGAAGACTAAATTGTAAATTGACCTTCCAGGCCATGCTATCACTCGACTCCAGTGGCTCAATGCAGTGACACTTTATGAAAAAGCACAGCATTCAAGCTCACGTGATGTTATTAGAGTGTTACGTCAACACATATGAAAGTCACTTTCGAAACTTTGTTTTACATTACCAAAGCCTTCAACCTATATAGGTCAGACAGCCTGGCACACACAGGTACTGTTTTTTCGTGGTTGCTTCTTCCTTTATGATATATGAATACACCCCTTTGCAGATCATTGCTTGATGAAGACTTCCTCACGCTGTGCGAGTCTTTAGGATTTTACAACCATACTTCACCACGGTGGTCAGAGGGGGTTGGGGAAGGTGGGGAGCAGACGTGGAGAGGTACTACAAACAAATGCGTTGCTGCATTGCCCTCTGCTACCCACCACATAGCCCAGTGGCCTATAACACCTATTATGCATGGCGGTCACCAACCCGAATGCTACCCGGGGTCAAGACAAGACACCTTGTGCGCGTACTTCACATAAATCTGTACAATGAGACACGTATATTTTTTTACTTCACCAAGTAGTATTTTTTCTGAACTCGTGTATCCTTTTAGTTGCGACCACTGGTAAAAACTCACCCTTCGGCCCCGTTAAACCTCCGGTCGTTGCCTTGCTGGTTGTGGATCCGATGAACTAGTTTCTGTGGAACAAACAGCAGCAGCAGCAGAGTCACTGCATGAACATTTACCCAACCAGGTAGAAACGAAAGTCCACACAAAAGTCAAAAACGTTCGCGACTCAAAGAAGCATGCTGTCGATACTGTCTTCACCCGCTATTCGATGGATCGAAGAAAAACTCTTGACTTTTGAATTTTATTTCCTATAAGAGGCACCGAGACCACCGCCATTTCTAGTGTTGGGTCACTTGAAAAAAAAAATCCATGATTACTCATTTCAAGGTTTACAAATTATTATGATGACGTGATTAGTTTTAAAACTGCTTACAAGTTAACATATTTTGATTTAAAGCTTTCGTGACTGCAGGGATTTTACCGAAAGAACCAAGAATAAGTTAACATATATTAAGTTGATTTAACATGAAAAGAAATAACCCGTCGTTATGGTAAACATTGTTAGAACATTCCCACTTTATGTTTTTTTTCCTGGATCTTATGTCCTCATTATAAAGTCTCAAAATATATCAGCCTGATTACATGACAGCCAATCGATAGTGCACTGCAATATGTTTACACAGCCTTCTAACGTAATCCATGTGCACCTGATGTGCTGCAGTCCTTGTATGATGAACTCATTGCTAACAAGATCATTTTGTCTTGCTGTTGAATTTTTTTTCAAATTGAACAGTGCTATAAAAATCTATCAGACCACACGAAGTAAAAAAAACATTTAGTACATGCTGCAAATTGAGTTATAATGACACTGGTGTGAAGCTACAGTGATTATTACACTGCACTAACAACCTGCTGACCTGAGTTCAATTCTTGGCCACGGCTAACATCCTGGGCACCGGCTCACCAACCTGCACTGGACCAGCATGGTGAAGTAAGATGAAACAACCTGAATGATCAACCGGACTTGGAAAGGCTTTCATCCAGCGGTGAATTGATTAAGTGCTGTAGCTGTGAGAGGTTTATTTCGTTGCTATCAGTACCGGCTACGTAATTGCAGTATGTATGTACACATACGCCACTTTGTGAAGCGATCATTTGGGGCAAGGTCGCTTATGAAAAATAAGTTATTACCTCGGTGGGCTTTACCTGGTTAAGATAAAATTTACTTTAGTTTTATGTGTATATTTTGAAGTGATTTGATTACCTTTCCTACACTTTGCACCCCTATCGTGTTTTTGTATTGTTTGTTGTTGTAACGTTCTGACTCCTTACTGTAAATCTGTGGAAAAAGAGATGTATAGTTCATCGGATCCCACCAGTATATAATCTTATTGTGTTGAACTTCTTTCGCACCGTGCGTAACCAACCACTGACCGACACGACGAGGTCCCTCTTCCTCCGCCTTGTGTTGTTGCTGTGCAAGCTGCTGCCGCTGCCCCCGCTGCCCCCGCTGCCCCCGCCCCCGCTGCGCCTGTGCGATCCGAACGAGGACGACGACGAGCCCAAGTTTCCGCGTGCCCGCACGCGGCGCGACGTCGACGACGACGAAGACGCCGCGGCCGCCACCGCCGCCGCCACCGCCGCCGCCGCCGCCGCCGCCACCTGCGGCAGCGGCGCCGGAGTCGAGGCGGCGGTCGGTGCAGACGTGGGCACGGAGGAGCCGGGCACCGCCGCCGCCGCGGCGCCGTGGTGGTGCCCGTGGTGGTGCCCGTGGTGGTGATGGTGGCCGTGCGGCGCCGGCGGCGTCATGGCGTGCGATGCGCCCAGCCCCGCCGCCTCGCCGTCCCAGCTCTCGCCGTAGTCGGCGTAGCAGTGGGTGGCGGCGGAAGCGTCGGCCCCCGGCCCACCGTAGCCCTGCGCCGCCTGGTGGAAGTCGGCCATCGAGTCCACCGAGTGGAAGTCCTTCATGAGGTGGGGCTGCTGAGAGGCATCGGCCGCGTGCGAATCCTTGGCCGCGGTGGAGGTCTCCGGCGAGCTCGAGTAGACGCCGCCCGAGTCTGGACACCCGCACGGCGGCACGCGGCGCGTCAACACGGGCGGATGTCCCCGTTGCTCCCGCTCGGCTGCTGCCCTCATTGCCTCAAACCACCACGCGCTGGTGGTGGGCATTTACAATGTATTTATTCTGCTCTTAGATGTTTACGTCCTTCTCCTGGTCATCTTTGCACGTCTCTCCCAGCCCAGTGTTTTCATTTTCATCAAAAAACATTTTGTAGTCTTTCCCTCATCCCATATATTCTCATACCCCTCACTCACTCCTTACGGAATATAATCTCTTAGACGTCATAAAAAATAATACCTACATTTCTCAAGCTTAAAAAATGTGCATGCCTTCTCAATTTGGACAAAATCTTTAAACATGGTGGTACCTGACATTTCATTATATTGTAAAATGTATCATTTAGTGAAACTTCAATTTCGATAGTTACCCATGGAATTATTCCAATTTAAGCACTTTACCATTTTACCATCATTCACAGGTCCAAGTGTGCTGATGCCTTTTCTCAAATCTCATATTCAATTCTTACCCGCAATTAAATTAGAATCAATTCACAGATTTTCTTTGGGTAACTCTCTTCATTCCAAAATAATGAATATCAATGACCTCTCACCTGGTGAAATAAACAATAAACACTCTTGATACTAACTAATTTACCAAGTCTCCCTTCTCAGACAGCTCTTGTATGTTTACATAAAGAATATCAATCACAATAAGTGTACCAAAATATTAGACGAGATTACAAAAACCAAGAACACCCAGTGCAGCTCACAAAAAGTATAAATCTTGAACTCTTGGCAGACTAAATAAGGGAAAGACAATTAAAATCTGGTACAAAACTATCATTCTTGGAATGCTATTGTGGAGTAATGGTGAGCACGCTGGAGTTGTCATGCAGAGGTCGCCAGTTTGATCTCCCTGAATCGCAGTCAATGGGCGGGCCGCTTTTGAAAAGATAAAAATATGGGTACGACCACCAATTCCAAAATATCTGGCCAGCGTGGATGAGTAGGCCAAGTACTCTCTGGAGGGGCTCTCTCGAGGTCCCCCCCTCCTTCCTTTCCACCAGCAGTGGCGTGAGCAAGCAATTGCACAGATGCACCTTTGCCTTTTAGAAAACTATTCTTACCACTTATACTATATATAACGTGAAGTGTGCGTGCTCTTTGTAACATACACCAATTGTGTGCACACTTAAACAGTCTACAGAAATTTATGTTAACAATAGGAAACTAACAAAAGAGTGGTTTATGGAAAAGTCAAGGGCATCTGGAATGCATTGGCTATGCGCCCTTGGCTGTCGTACTCCCACGACCATCAGCACATGAGAGCGTCAACAATCATGAGTTCACATGTCCAATGCGTTCCCCTCCGAGTCAAGGAACCTGCAGTAAAAGCATGCCAATTCCCTCCCTTTATTACGTCCATTAATTTGTGCAGAGCAGGACGGCCGACTGCAAGAGGTCTGCCCATAAATACATTTTTAAAGTCCCGCCACAGTTTATACGGTTCGTGATTATGCATCCGCCATTGTACGTCTGAATTTGTAAATAAGAGAACTGAACCACCATGCTTGAGACTGCACTGCGATGATTAATGCAATGAGCGGTTAAACAAAAAAAATAAGTAAGAAAATGTGTTGACTGGGTATTGTCCAAATTCATTTAACAACAATATAAATCAGAAAAATATGTTATTCAATGGTTGTTATTCAACCAAGTTGGAAATTATTTTATTATAAGAATACACATACATTTTATGGGTGTTTTTTTTTTTTCTTCATAAAGCGCACTTGTCAAGTTTGTTTAAAAGTTTTCTGTTGGTTTCTGCAGTTGTGCTGTTTTTGGATTATAACACACACAATACGACTCTAAAAAACACATCCGAGAGGAATTCAGTGCAATTTTCCTGACCAAATAAATAATTTTCATTTTTTTTTAGTATTATTATATACTGTATGTGTGTGTGCGATGAGCTGAAAGGCTCATTATGGAATTTTCCTTCGAAATTTCATACACATTTGACACGCTGTAAATATTAATTCACAGTTGATTTGGGGTTTGTGCCACAGCCTGAATCCCAGAAGTGAAAATAATTCACGTAAATTATAATAAAAAAAGAAATGTATGAAAATTTTGTATAAACTGTCTCTAAGTAACATATGGTTACATGGGTGAGTAAGATAATGAATCTCAATGGGCTCTCACCTCTGGTTTAAGGACGTAAATCAACAAATCAATACCATATAGGAACCTCTACAAGAGCTATCAGCTATGAGATCTTAGAGCTTCTAGAAACCCTTCATCAAGACAGCCACTCCAGTCAGTTTGGGATGTTTCTTCCCACGATTTTTAGAATTCTCAATATGTCGTTGGCTGTTTTGAATCATTTACATGTCCACTAAACTACAAGATAATTACATAATCATTCCATTGCCTCCATGTTTTGGGTATTTTCACATAACCTTAATAACCATTGAATATGAGTCTCAGTTTGTGACACATTGAGTCTTACAAATCCTAATATGCTGCAGTTTGGATCTTGAGTATTTCCATTGAGCTTTAAACACATAATTACCTCTTAGTTTGATATCACACCATATTATCACACTATTATCAGACACCGCAAGTGTGTGCATGGCATTAGTGCTTCATATTATGAATTATTAAGCACCAAGTTGTAGCTTCATCTCTTCGTTTCCATTATAAACGTGAATCACGTTTATAAGGGGATATTTAATTTTCACATATTCAAGATGACCGAAGCATGACAATAAACGGGAATCCAGCGACTGAAAACATTATGGACTGATGGAGAGGATGAGGAGGAGGCATTAGAGTGGACAGGGAATAACACATAAACATCAGCAACAGATGGGATATGATGACGATCGGCAACAGTGGAAAACTTCTGAGGCAAGTTCGGGGACCCAGTGGCGTCCGTAAAGAGGCTGGACATGAGATTAAAGAAGAGAGATGTTTCAATATAAAAAAACTGATGCTAATAATAATCTTATTCGGTGGACTATAAAAGCATCATCTGCTCTACTCTGATACTGTGCTTATGTTGGTTAGCTATTTAATTGTAGATACATTTTTACGATATGTATTCCTAAAATGTATGCTGGCAGTGAATATTTGCTGAAGACACAAAAAACAATTTTATTACGTAATTTATGTTGTCAACCACAGCATAAATTACGCTTCTCTATCACAATTCACTTTATCCAATAACAATGGGAACACATTCCCTAACCCTAAAGTTAAGTCAGAGTCAAGCATATCTTTACTCAAATGAACTTGGAAGGTTATCCCAACCTGTACTGGCAGCCATAAACAAGTAGATTAATTTCTACATTCCTATTGTGGGGACTAATCTCTCCACAGGACAACCACCGATGATTTCCTACAAAGTTGATCATCTGACCCCTTAAAATGTGAAAGAATATGAACTCACAACTTTCAGATTGTAAATCGAGTGTATTTGCCACAGCAATACCCAACCAGTGTTAGGGTTTGAATAGTAGTGATTGCACGAGTGAAGGCAAAAATAGGGGGGCGAATGCTAGGGCAAGAGTTTGCGCTAAAATCAATGATGAGTTCCTTGGCCAAGGCGAATTTCAAAGAAGAGTCATAACAGCTACTCTCTTGCCAAGTCCAGAAGTCAGTAATGCACCTGGGGAATAATAAATAACAGCTGGAGCAGGAAGATGAATTTTTATTCATTAGGGGGGTGGTGTTGGGTGCTGCTCCAAGACTCGGGAAAACCTATGAACACAGGGAGAGTTATGTGTATCATGGGAGGTTCTGGGGTGATGGAGGATGGCTCGCGTTTGAATAAAACGGAAAGGGCTAGTGGGTAGGTACCGCAGTGAAATGTGGACTGGGGGTTTGAAAGAAGCATTCCAATCCCTGTCCTGGGAACACAGTGTCAGTGTAAGTCACCGAAATAAAGGTGGGTTCATGAAATGACAGATGACATTTCTTGACCACAGTACTGAACCGCCCACCGTCAACTAAAATCATGCAACTGTGGAAACAGCATTACATACTCGAATCAGCTTCAATGTTTTAGGTTAAGTACAATGGCCTTTATGTAGCCAGGAAAACTTAAAAAGGATATATTTGTTTTAAAACATATATACTTATCCAGGAAAGGCTTGCATTTAAATATTTGGACAATTTATATGAAGCATGTGGAAGGAATCAAAGTACCCAGAGAAAATACACAAATATGAGAAGATAACACAATACCATAGATGGGTCACAAGCCCTCTACAGTATATGTATTTCCATCTCTTGGCCACCTCAGAGCTAGCGATTTTGGAGGCTAAGTAAATCATAAAATAGGTGCGATCCACTAACACTGCCTCCAAATCATGTATATATAGTCCATCCATGGCTATTTAGTTTCATAATTCATGTTCAGAAAGGTCCTGCATTGAAATGTTTGGCCAATTCCTTTCTAGTAAGTATTTTGCATTACTTTTTTAAGGAGCAAAGCCATCATTTAAGTCACAAGTGTGAGCTAAATTACATAGCGATCTTTGACACAGCCAACATTGGACTCCGTTTGCATTCCTTATTCAATTGTAAGCGATTAAGAGCATGGATAAATAACATACTAAGGATCAAAAATGGAACAACTCACCATACCTTACAAGCCTAAGAGAGAGTATGTATATATACTGCAGTCCAATTTTGCCACTAGTCTAGAAGTTTGTATGCCATGTTCAATGTCAATCGTATTGTTAACTATGCACATCATACAATTACGTAATCCCTATTTACAGAGATTGAAATATTGGTGCTGATCTAAAGAATCATGATTATTGCCGTATCACTGCCCTGACACTGCCCTCGACCCAGAAATGATTGTATAACCTTTAACAATGTGAACTGATGCTCATGGTTAGATATTTTCTGTAGAAAAACCCACTTTTTGTGTTATGTGTGTCGCAGCAGTTAAATCAGTGACTGATTTCAATCATGAAAACGAGACTCAATCACTGGTTGTTTGGTTCCGTAGCTGACTGATCTATGGACAGTATGACTTCACCATTAAAATATATGTCACGATAGAAATTTTAGTAAACCAGTGAATTGATCGGTGGTATGGGTCAGGTGATTTGAGGCAGGTGACAATAGTCATGTAGCATCGTTTAGAATTTTGGATATGGAAAGATTAGGTGGTGGAAATCTAGTGTTTGAGGTCATGTAGTTGGGGTTAGGTGACTGTCGTCATGTGGTAAATACCATGTGGTATGGGTCAGATTATTAATGTCGAGTGACAGGATCAAGTGGAATGAGCAAGGTCGGTCGAGTCAGGTGACTTAAGTCACGTTGTTGGAATCAGGTAAAATGAATCAAGTGGCACGAGTCAAGTGGTTAAGTTGAGCACGTTTGAATAATGTGATTGGGTGAGGTGATTTAGGTCACGTGACTTATAGCATAGAAGTCAGGTGGGTAGGACAGATGGTATTGGGTCAAGTGGCTGAGGCAAATTCAAGACGTTACGACCAGGAAGATGACATCCAAGTTTTCATATAATTGTGACCAGGTGGCAAGCGCGCAATCTTCTATGGCGTCACATGAAAAGCCCCCGGGGAGGCGGAGAGAGACAGCGCGCCGTACTTGCGTCCCGGTAGTCGGCCCCATTGGAGTACGCATCGTGCGCCGCCGCACCGCCGTACGCCTGCTGCTTGAGTGCCCGCAGCTCGGCCTGCACCGCCTGCAGGGCTCGCGCATTGGCCCGCTGCGCGAGTGCGGCTGCCTCGGCCAGCGACACGGCGCGGTCCACTCGCTGGTAGATGAGGTGAAGCAGGTGCTCAGGGTTCGACGGCAGCACACCCTGGCCTCTCACGGGCACAGGGGCCGAGTGCTGCTGCTGCTGCTGTTGCACGCCCGCCGAAACGTCTGCCACAGACGGGCCCGACAGCGGCGTGCGGTCGCCGCCCAGAGCCCCGGCGGCAGATGAGGAAGGCGTCACGGACTGCGTGGCGTTGAACATGGATGTGCCACCTCCGCCGGGCGGAGTGAACACAATGGTTGCACTGAAAGACATCGTTTCCTCCTCGCCCTGTCAAGGGGGGGGGGGGGGGTGGCACAGGGTAACGAGGGGAACAGTAACAGAATGTTTGTTATATTTTAATGGGCAACGTATGCGTGTTAATTCACGAGGTGTCTCCCTTTATTAATGGGCCAATGTAGAGCCCTGCGCTGCTTGCTCGCACCTCCACTAGGGAGAGCTTTAGAAAGCCCCCCATTTGACCCACTCTTCTACGCCGACCAGACGTATTGTTAAGTGGTGGGAGTAACCAACACTGCATCTCACCACCTGATAATTTACTTTAATCTGGTGTTCCAATGTATTTGTGATTCATCAACACGAGTGCAACACGTGCTCACATGGGCCTTAAATGCAAGTGGGCCGTGTAACAAAAAAAATCCTAAATCACTTTAACCTCACATGTGAAAGCATGTTTAGGCAGTGTTATCATAACAGTTTACGTACGTGTAAAATTCATGTAACACAGGTCATTTCTAATATACGGGACAATTGTCCTTATATATCTAAGAAAGCCTCCTTGAGTCTCAAAAAAATAAATTTGCAGGTGGGTTCTGCATTGGCACGTGTGGCCAAAAAAATCTGTAAAAACAAAAAAATTGTTGCTTGTGGAAAGTGTGTGCATCGCCAGCAGGTGTAATGTTAACATTTGACAATCCGCTGGACATCACCGTGTAATTCAAACAACGAATTACTGGCGTAGTTCGACACATTAAGGAGGCTGGGCTAAGTTGACTGACGCCGTACAACCACATTAGCTGGGGGGGGACACACAGATTGTTGTACCGTACTAATGAATCTCGGGCAGGGTTCCTCGCCGGATTGACAGGTGACTTGTCAGTAATCTCGGGGCTTAATTTAATGTCACTATCGCCTCGCGTACCTCTTAACGCCGCATTTTACCTCACGGTTTCAAAAAAAAAAACGGCCTATGAGCAAATGATGCGTACGTTTTGTTTATCATTATAGGCGAACGAAAACAATTTATCGATTCGTGTTTGCGAAGCGCACCCCCTCCCACCCCATGTGAACCGCGCGGTCTCCTGACTTTTATTATAAAGCGCCTTTTACTATTAACACTCTTGCAAGTATATAACAGATACGTTTCGCGTACGTGGCCTCGCGCAGCAATTAATGTAAAATAATGCACAAAAAAATAAGATACCAATTAACCGCTTTTTTTTTAAAGAGGCATAACCAAAACGCGTTTTATTTTGAGCCGATGTTGTTTTTTGAACGTCGCCGCTTACCGTAGCCTCGCCGCGTTGCGCAATCACCGCGAGGGCTACCTCAAGCCTCGGGCTCTGATTGGTGTAAAAGCGCGGGAAAGTGTCCAAGGGCCCCACCAGGCTCAATCGAGTCCGGGCACCGCATCGAAACTGCCCCCCCCCCCCCCGCAAAGCCATGATCGATCCACTGCTGGATATTTAAGAACGAACAACATGATTTCTACACAAATCAGGCGTGAGCCTGATGATGCTCGTTGCAATTATTGGCGAAACGTCACGGTACTCAAATTGTCGCAAATGTTGTGGATTCGCTCTCCGACACACCGGTGTGCTGTACTCGTAACGAGTTGGCACGTTCTGTTTACGTGACAAATCTTAACTACTAACTGGCTGTGGCGGGTTTAACAACACTTTTATTTACGCAATCGAATCCAACAAAAACACCCCCCCCCCCCCCCATCTATTATGGATAAGGTATGCGCGAAGCCCTCGCAATCTCTCGCGTGTGGCCTCCAACCTCCGATGGTGGATGGGCCACGTGCGTTCGTTACACATTTGGGGCTCTCCGTCGTTGAAGTCTCGGGGCCACGTTACGGCACAGTATAACCACCAATTGCTTAATAGTCCAAACAATATTCCGAATGTTCCACGTGGGCCTCTGCGTCTCAATGCAACCCCAAGCATGAATCTCTCCGTGCTGCGAAAGTCGCTTTGTTTATTCTTATTTGCACATATTTCGGCTGTTGTTTCGCTTTATCAGCACGTCGGTCATAAATAAACCTACAATAAATGCATTCTAGATTTGAAGCTTTCGTGACTCCCATACAGCTTAAAGGACGCGACCTGGCTTGACTTTCTTAATTCCAACGCTGTCTTCGTGACAGCACGGTCCCTTAACCTGATGAAGGCCACTTGTGTTGTGGCCGAAACGTCGTGATTTTTGTTGTTTTATTTTTTTACCTACGTGACTTTACCGAATAGAACCAAAGAGTATGAATAAATGCATTGCCTATCTATGTTGCGTACGGTCTACATGTTCCCCGGGCTGTGATGAACATTCGAAGCTTCCTTAACGATACAAATATAAACAAATGATGCACGTGCAATGACTCTGCAAATGCTTCCCAACAAACGCGTGTCCTCGTAAGCGCTGCACTCTTATCCGATCAGCTATTGCGTTCCGATCAACGTCCCATTTACAGCTTTACACTCAAATTATGTTCTGTTATACCGGATCAACCTCCACGTGAACCCACAACAACAATTAGACGGGACAGTGCTGGCGTACGAACGCTTTTCAACCCTGTTCGGGAAGCGTTAAGAACACCACGGCTGTGTTAAGCGCGTTGATTGCGAAACGTTTCAAAATACAGTACAAGTTGAAAGCGTACGTTTTTTTTGTTTGTTATATATACTTATTAAACGAAGCTTCAAAGTCATCTTGTAGGATAGCACCGGCAAACATTGCCTCCTCGGTGTATGTGGCTGGCAAGAACGAAAGCTACCGGTTAATTTTAGGTCGTCTTGAAAACACTTGGGAATATTTAGTTGACATAAATATCTTGATCTCAGATGGCATTACGGTTTATCCAGAGGTTGACAAACGAGTTTCAATAAAATCATGCATTTTAGTTTTAACGCCTCTTAACTGCACAACTAATCACGCTACGATAAGCCCCCTTGGGGTTGTTATTGAGCCTCTATATACCCCCACTGGATTTATCCGATTGCAACAGGGTTCTCATCAAAAGCGGTTATTCAAGTAATAAAGGGCTCAGACAAATTTGATTAAATTATAAACCGCGTAGCAAATCCATACCGATTATACCACATTTCCATCACGCTGATGATCAGGGCATCTATATGTACACGTCTTTTGACAAATGAACTAAGGATGCAACTAAAGCGGCTAAGTTCACTAAACTCTAAACCCAACGACCTTAAGTCAGACTCCAGAGCACGGCTGAATCGCTTCGGTAAATTAAACCAAACAAACCCGCACCGACCACAGCGTAAAGTATGCCCATAAGCATCACCCTACAAAAAAAAACCAGAGACACAATTAAGTAGCCTGCAGTATTCTTAGTCGATGGGAGTGTGCGCGTACGTTCAACTTCTTTCGCACCGTACGTAGCTAATCGGAGGTGCGCTAGAGATATGGTGTTACTTTAACCCAGCACATTATTCGACAATCGAAGGAAGCATAATCTTGCTGCAGTAGCCCAATGGAAATAAACAACTCGCATTATGATAATTGTTTTTTTTCTACCATTTTATCTGGCAGCAATTATATTTTGCTACTGGCAAAGGTGGTTCCGATGGTGTAAACTAGCATTATCTTGTCTCGTCAATAGCATATCGTACCAGTGAAGCAGGGAGCACCCACCAGCACGCCCGTCTGTCAATCTACTGCTGGATGAGAACTTCTCCCGAAGGCCGTATAGGCAGCGAGGGTTAATTTGACCATACTTCACCACGCTGGTAAGATCGAGTTGGTGGTAGGGAATAAGTGCAAAGCGGCAATAATGTATTGCGCTGGACTGTCCACTACTACTTACACAAGTTGTATGGATGGTGATCCCCCTTCCCAAGTTATATCCAGGCTCAAACACTGGTTTAAGTGTATGAGGTCTGCTGAGATTGAGTACATTGTTGGTGATTTGCTGATTGTTTTATATAACAGACGGGATTACTGACGCATAGAATTATCTGCGCCCCATCGCATTTACAGTACAATTGTACAATGATGTCCACAACAATAACCTCTGTACTTTTACCGAGTCAAATGTAAGGGGATTGAGACCATTTAAATCATGTACAGTACTCTATGGAGAAGCGGGAGCTCATTGCGCAATAAATCCGACTCGGTACGAATACCGTCCAAGGCTAAACATCAGCGACGAGTGACATAAATTATCTGAACCGGTCCGCTTCACCAATCCGCACCATTGTGGTGAAGTTTGGGTCAAACAACCGTGGGAAGCCCTTCACCCACGAGTGAATTTGACAAATACTGTATAGCTAAATGGGCGAATCATTCTTTGGCTTAGCTGCATATGTCCAGGCCCTGAGTGAAGCGTATAAAGGCATTATTATTACGTCCCCGTAATGTAAAAAGCCCATGTTAATTTCCACTCTCATGTCGCTTTAAGCAGAAGCTGACAACCCACGTGCACATGGCTCAGCCGTCTCCGTACACTGGACATTAAACGCGTACAGCAGTGGGAGGTCGAGGCTGGGGGGGGGGGAGGAGATAGGGCGGGGCTTCCTCAAAAGTAGGCGGCACCCACCAAAGCAACTACCCAATCGCGGACGAGACGGGCGTAGCAGGCTCCCCCACCCACCCGCACCCACCGATCACAACTAAAAATAAATTAACGAGATGGCCAATCAGGAGCGGACATCCCTCGCGGCGGCTACGCCCCCCCCCCTCAGCGAGCGGCCTCGCCCCCTCCACCTCCGTCACACCCCCCCCCACCCCGCCTCACACGCGCAGCGATCGCAAGAGTTGGATGCCGCGCATGCGCGGTGCGCGTGATCGCCGCCCCTCGTATACAGAGCACTTCGCGGCCGGCGAGGAAATAATAGTAGCGATATAAATAATGAAAGAGCGCGCAACGCACATAAATAATGAAATAATGCGGCGAAATACCACCTCGAGCGCACACACCAGACCAGGGGGGGGGGGGGGTGTGAGAGACTCGCAGAGAGAGAGAGAGCGCGCGCCAGCGAGAGCGAAGGAGAAGAGACGGTCACACAAGCCCATACATACGCACGTCAGGCCCCGTAGCCCCCCTCCTCTGTCCGCAGCTTGATGTCGGCCCCCCCCACCATACGAGACGGTTGGGGGGCTTCCCCCCCCCCTTCCGTCGCTCTCGGTCTCGGTTTCTCTCTCGTCCGGTGCCGGCGTGGAGGCGAGAGCGGGGAGCCCAAAGTGGAGGAGTTGCGTGCACACGAAAGCGAGCGCGCGCGCGCGAAAATGGCCGAATGCACGCGAGGGCAGCGGCTCAGCGCAGTGTACACAGCGCGTGTGAGCTGTTTGGGGGGGCCCTAGGGGGGGCGTGCGAGTGGGCGAGCTGGCGGGCGGGCCGTCGCGTGTGCACACACGCACGCGCGCGCGCGCTCGCGCGGGAGGGATTAATTGGCAGTTGCTACCCGGTGTACGAATCGGTGGGCACTGTTGTTGTTGTGGTGTGTGTGTGTGGGTTGGTGGTTGTTGTTTGTGGTTAATAGGAGACAACTTTGCCGTGGAGGTGATGTGTGTTGATGGTGAGTTTGTTGTGTGGCAGGTTGTACAAGAAGAGTACACGTTCGGTTGAAATTTGACGTTGGTTTCTGATGTTAGATTAGATATTAGCTTGGCCAGCTTCGTTTAAAGTTGGGTTATTTTTGCGAAAATTTTGTTATACATTTTTTTAAATAAGTATTGACATTTGCGGTATGTAAAGTCATTTAATATTTTCAATTGATATTTGTGGTTTAGACTTTTCCCATTCAACTTTGATTTATTCAATTTTATTTTCAATTCTTTTTTTTATAAATTCCTAATATGCTCATTCCTCGTTTCATCATGAACGCAATCGTTTTTAACAATTTAGCGATTTTTTTAATGTTCATGATTAACGTATTTTTCAAATCAAATTATTTATTTATATGTTTGTAAAACCAAATTTGACAACAAATACAGCCATATACACAGCGGAGAAGTTTGCTTATTATAGTGAGATATACATGAGTGCATGAGACGCCAAACTACCTAATAAACATGATATACATCATAAATCTCTTTAGTTGTGGCTGGGCGAACAAAACAGAAAACGACTAATAAAATTAAAAACAAAGTTTCACTGTATTCGCGAGCGACCGTCGTCCGTCCGTGGTACCTTGGGATCCCCCTGTTTGGTGTGCAAACACGACGTATCGCAATGGGGTGATCTCATCCCATCCCATGCACCACTGCACGCGACTCTGCGTGTGCATTCCACGCACAGTCGCTCGCCCCATGCCACTCGCACGTTTACCTGTTGTTAGCGTGGTGGTTTGGTGTATCGGTGTTGGCGTTATTAACGTGCAATCAGCGACGGTGGTATATTGGTGGTGTACACGTCCAAAATATGAGTTCACCCATAATGCATAGTGTTGTCCCGTGACCTGTCTTCGAGCTTTTCTCGCTTCCTAACGCGGTCTCGCAGTGCACCTAGCCTGGCACAAGCGCTGTGGTGACGTCACTGAGTGGCGATTTTGTGTGTACATGCGGCAAGATGGCACGGTTAGAGATTCACTGCTGCTCAGTCCCACAATTTCGGACATTTCAAGACACTTTAGAAACGTGGATAAATATTCTTACTTGTAGCGTCAAGAAGCGGCGTTTTACTTGTCAACGCAATTACGTGTCAAGCGAGCAGGATTGTAATTAAAATAGAAATATAATTGCGTAATGATGAAATGTCATTTTACTTGGGTATGCCATGTCAACCAATTACCACTGTAATTAATGCCAATTAAAATAATGTGTTCTCACCTTACAGTGGTGAATACAAGGGGAAGCACAGGGCCATCAGTCAACACTGGATGGAGCATGGCTGATGATTATAAGGTTGAGTATTAAGTAGAACAGCAAACCAAAAATACGTGCTGGAAGTGCCAACTGCACTGTAATATGTAGGTCATAAAGGTTTTTTGGGTTAGATCGCGTCAGCATAAATGTGTCGTAACCCTCCACCATCCGACACAGCCAATCAGTAAGGGATTTGTCACGTAAACAAAACGCGCCAATTAGTTACTACTTCAGCCCACCGGTGTGTTGGAGAGTAAAGCCACAACATTTACAATTTGAGTAGTACGACGTTTCGCTGGTAATTACATCGACCATAATCGGGCGATTTGCCAGAATAGTGAAGCCATCCACCTGCTTCCGGTCTTAAATAGAGCAAGACGAGAGAAATCCAAATAATTATAACCGCACTCACAGCTACAGGCTTAGTGAATCCTGGAAGCGTTTTTATTAAGTAATTGTAAGATGAGCTCAAGAGGAAGGAAGAACAGCGGACCCCACATGAGTGGGATAAACGCGTGGAAGTAGAAGAAATCTTACAATTACAATCCCTTAATAGAGGAAACACATACGAATGAAATTATTACTAATCTATTATATAATTACAATAACCCGCCTCTGATTTCTGCACCTGATGGGTTCAGTGATACTGTCGTCTTGCACTTTTTAAGAGTGGAAGCAGGTGGCAACTCGCCCGATGATGCTGGATGTAATTACCAACCAAACGTCGTACTACTGAAATTGTAAATTGTTGGGCTGAAATAGTAACTAACTTAACGCGCCAGCGTTTTGTTTACGTGACAACTACCTTACCGATTGGCTGTGTCGGATTGTGGAGGGTTACGACACATTTATACTGACGCGATCTAACCCAAAAACAAATATTATGAATTATATTGGTCGCTCAAGGCTACGTGTTTAACTGAATATGAAGGTCACTGACGATTATGTTCTTAAAACACATGCATGCACCAATAAGTGCCGTAATAATGACAGGGAAATATCGTCAGTGCTCGATGATGTGAAGGAGCGTCTAATTCACAAGCCCATGTTCACATTCCAATCCGTTATCCGGTTTTATATACAGGTATTATATACACACTGGCTACCTTGGAATATTCATCGTAAGCATCAACCGCAATGGGTGTCCAAGGCTAATAGTTGGCCAAAAGCTGTTTTACAGAGCAGTAGTGTACTGTATTGAAATCTTTCCTGTATTTAGATACTATTTAGATTCGAATTGTTAAAGAAGGGTACATTAATCCGTGTTTATTTTTTCCAAAGCAGACTTGATACGCAAATGGTGTCCGGGAAAAAAAAACCTGACTAAAATGTCGAAATTGCAATGCCACGCAAACATGGGAGGTGTGGAGCCGTGGGTGTAGCATGGTGGTGCAACGTGCCAGCAAGCTGCTCACAAGCTCCAACTCCAGCCAAGGCGAACGTTAGTTGGCGAATGACATGGGAACGAGTTGCGGATAATCTCTTCATTAAATCCGCGCCGACCAGCGTGGTGAAGAATGGTAAAATAAAATACTTCCCAAGACCAACATGGCACTGGGAGGCCTTCATTCAACAATGGTTATAGCCGGTTGAGAAAAAAACAGCGAATTTTATTCGCTGTTAATACACGCGAGAAAACATTGTGTTATTTATTTATCATTTTGATAATGGTTCCCAACCACTCATTCCTATTTTTGGACATCCATCGGTGCCATTTCTGAAAAATAAAAATTGTCACCGTACAAGTATTACATTTAAAGTACGTAGTTATATAAATAATTGCTTGATTAAAAGTTGCGGTATTTATAACATAAATATATCTTAACATTTCAGCTGACTGGCCTTCTTTGGGAAATACACGTTTCATCTAAATATAATTTAACCATACTTCGCTCTTCTGGTGTGGGCGGGTTGATGAAGTGAGTGGCAGGGCTAGCAATATCAGTTCAGTCATCACTTGCCACTGATGTTAGCCGTGGTGAAGAATCAAACTCAGGTTGTCTAGTTCCGAGTGCAATACACGAGCCCCTAAATCACCTCTCTTTCTAATATCACATCTACATGGCATACATATTTTTCGCATTAAATATTTTCACAACCATTTCACCACCAAAACGACTACTTCACTGGGCTCTGCCTGGGGTCGATTAAATGTTGTAGTAAGTCAATAGCGGATAGCCCTTCTCATTGTGAAGTGGAATTCCCACCACGAACATACGACCACCAAACTTTCCCAAATCTCACTTAAACAAGAATACACTTTGACTTGACCCTCGACCCCATATTCACGATGCAATTAATTTATTCTGTAACGTATCGATGTGTCTAAATTTTTCTCAGGATGGTCCTTTTTTTTGCTGGTTAATTTTACGAGGCTAGGTTTTGTAAAGACACGATATGAACGTTATGGCGGGACCCCGGGGTCCCGAATAAACGGAAGTCAAAATCGTTATTTATTTTTGGCGACTGCATCCCACCGCGCACATAAACACCGCGGCCTACAGTGAGGGAAAAAAGTATTTTATCCCCTGCTGATTTTTTACGTTTGCCCACTGACGAAGAAATGATCATTCTATTATTTTAATGGTAGGTTTATTTGAACAGTGAGAGAGAGAATAACAACAACAAAATCCAGAAAAACGCATATCAAAAATGTTATAAATTTATTTGCATTTTAATGAGGGAAATAAGTATTTGAACCCTCTGCAAAAACATGACTTAGTACTTGGTGGCAAACCCCTTGTTGGCAATCACAGCGGTCAGACGTTTCTTGTTGTTGGCCACCAGGTTTGCACGCATCTCAGGAGGGATTTTGTCCCACTCCTCTTTGCAGATCTTCTCCAAGTCATTAAGGTTTCTAGGCTGACGTTTGGCAACTCGAACCTTCAGCTCCCTCCACAGATTTTTCTATGGAATTAAGGTCTGGAGACTGGCTAGGCCACTCCAGGACCTTAATGTGCTTCTTCTTGAGCCACTCCTTTGTTGCCTTGACCGTGTGTTTTTGGGTCATTGTCATGCTGGGATACCCATCCACGACCCATTTTCAATGCCCTGGCTGAGGGAAGGAGGTTCTCACCCAAGATTTGACGGTACATGGCCCCGTCCATCGTCCCTTTGATGTGGTGAAGTTGTCCTATCCCCTTAGCAGAAAAACACTCCCAAAGCATAATGTTTCCACCTCCATGTTTGACGGTGGGGATGGTGTTCTTGGGGTCATAGGCAGCATTCCTCCTCCAAACACGGCGAGTTGAGTTGATGCCAAAGAGCTCCATTTTGGTCTCATCTTACCACAACACTTTCACCCAGTTGTCCTCTGAATCATTCAGATGTTCATTGGCAAACTTCAGACGGGCATTTACATGTGCTTTCTTGAGCAGGGGGACCTTGCGGGCGCTGCAGGATTTCAGTCCTTCACGGCGTAGTGTGTTACCAATTGTTTTCTTGGTGACTATGGTCCCAGCTGCCTTGAGATCATTGACAAGATCCTCCCGTGTAGTTCTGGGCTGATTCCTCACCGTTCTCATGATCATTGCAACTCCACGAGGTGAGAT